GCATTAACCAACCAACATGCCCTTTTCTTAATAACTAATTTTGTAACATTATCTTAATTCCAATTTATAATATATATATATATATATATATATATATTAATAATAGAATATATGTATCCACATGGAATTAAATAAAGAGAGAATTATAATAGAATTTAATGTCACGTCGTTGGTGTGCAGCATTATATTTATATGAGATGGAGTTCTTAACTCAAAAAACCCTTTCTTGTTCATAAAAATGTTATTACATTAATTTTTATTTTATATATTAATAAAAGAATTGAATACTTTTTATAAAAAATTAAGCCTATTTTATTTTCATTTTCGTATCTTAAACTTCAATTTCTCAAATGTATTATATCTTCGATCTAATTTCAAAAATAGAATATATTTACAATTATATATATATATATATATATATGTTAAACATTCTTATTTGAGATTCCTTTCTCATAAAGCAAAAGAGTGCTTTTGAAAATGTGTTCATTTATTAATAGAGTTTCAGTTAAATTAATAAAAGATTAGCAATGACAATGGGTTGGGTTCGGACTAATTATTGGCAGGGGTGGATGGCTTAAGGGGCATGGGGCCATGGCCCCTGTGCCTTTGTATCTCCATGTTAGAATAGATTAAAATTTTAATTATATAATAATTAAAATTTTACTTTGTTCCCCCATATAATCATCATTAAAACAATATGCATCAAGTCTAGTAAATATTTTATTTAAATAATAACTTGATCTCTGCATTGTTCATGAAGTTAAATATTGTTTATTTTTCATTTTGATTAGGCTAAAAATTATTGGTTTCTATAGTTAGAGCTAAATATTTTATTGTAAAACAATTGTTAAGGAGATTTATGAGTCGTTTACTAAACGCTTACCCGGTAAGTATTTACTGGGCAATTTTCCTTACCAGCTGAACATGACAAGGGGTAAAAATCTTACTCGGTAAGAGCGATGATAAGAATGAAGAGTTTTACTCGGTAAGTGAAGGTGACGACTCTTACCCGGGTAAGCGCTTACCAGGTAAAATTGTTGCATAAAATACATTTTTATGTACTACAATCTTACCCGATAAAATAAATAATAGTGTTGACTTTTAAGGTAAGCGCTTACTGGGTGAACATTTAGGTAAATGGCCCCTTGGAGTTTTAAAATGATAATTTTATACTTAAATAAATACCTTAAATATTATGATTACAAAATATATTGAAATGAAGTTTTGATGATATAACGATCAAACAAAGTCTTCATAGTTGTAAAATTAATAAAATATTAATAACAACCACGATAAAAAGTAATTCGTCGATTAAATAAACATTTGTTACTGCATGACTTAGAAGAAAATACAAGAGAGATATAATCGGACTCCATGACATGATACGATAAAACAATGTAATCAGTTTTGATAAATAGATGATCTTTTATATAATGTCCACAGGAGCGAAACCTTAATGGGGCCTTTGGGGGCCATGACCTCCCCCATTCACTTTATATTAAATTATTAATATTTAATTGTATGTATTAGTTTTTATATGATATATTAATTATATGTAAACATAAGTTTTTAGAGTAAATTACACTGGTATTACTATTTTTTGATTAATACTTTGAATGTTCAAGTTTTTGGAGTAAATTATATAATATATTAATTATATATAAATAATGTTTAAGTTGGTATTACTAATTTTCCGTTAATACTTTGAATGTTTCGAGTTTTAATCTTACATTAATCAATCTTTTTTTTCTAAAATTTGATAGTCTAAAAACAAATCATTTGGATTTATAAATTTTTACAATATTATAGCATCTCCAACATATTCTCCAAGGAGAATTAAAACTCTAATAAAATATTATTTCTTTCTCATAAACCATTAATATCAAGAATTCCTATCGGTGTGAATATGATAAAAAAATATTTTTCTCTCATTATAATCATTTTTGGTTTACACTCTCTCATGTTTTCTCCATTTTGGAGAGTTTTGGAGAGGTTGTTGAAGCAAAATTATGCCTAAAATCTTTATTTTCTCAATTTTGAAAAATCTATTGAAGATGCTCTTAATTCGGCCCCCCGAACTACAACAGTCGTGTTCCACACCTGATTATTGGTATTCTCGTCCTCAAAATCGATAACTAAAACCGTTTTTATAACCGTCCCGATTCTCATTGGGGATTTTATCGGGGATCCCCTCAGGTCCCGCGGTTTCCTCGATCCCCATTGGGGAACCCGTTAAGGGTGCAAATTTTTTTTTTCTCGTTCACCATTGGTTATAAACGAATCCAAACCTGAAATCGATCTAAAAAAATTACAATATATTAATTTTCACAACTAAAAGTAAATTACAATTTTTTTAAAGATGTAAGCTTAAATTTCTCAAGCATAATCGAACAATTTACAAACAATGTATTAGATAATAATATAAAAGTAACCAGGAATTCAAACATCACACAACTAACATCACGATTAGATAAATAAATTAGAATTTTTCGTGAGCCTTATTTGAATTGTTGAGGTAAAGTGGATAAAAATCTTTTTTAATTTTAATATTACTATTTTATTAATAATATTTTATATATACATATATGAATTCGTTAGGTGTTATCAAATTTTATAATTTTTTTACACTATTCAAATACATTTGACCATGAATTTTAATTCATAATTTTATTTTGTATTTATTTAAAAAAAATATAATTAAATTTCAGGTAACGAATTATGTTGATCAAATTAATATCACTTTTAATGTAAAAATGTAAAATGTGAAGATATTCTTGTGATGATGATTGATGATGTTAAGTGGCGTATAAAAAGTGACTGCCATGTATGACCAACACACACCCACACACCCACACACCCAGAAACAACGAACTGGTTTTCTTGGAAAATACCCATATTTATAACTGTTTATGTCTCTTTCAAAAGTTCAAACACCCAAACCTTGAAATCCAATTACTGTTCTCTTCCCAAATTCGGCACAAATCCAACACCAATTCATCATCATCATATGGAAAGATAGCAACTGGGTTTTCAATTTCATCCAGGATGGGAAATTGTATGCAGTCTGCTGCTCCTGTTAATGCCAATTCTACCATATCCGCCAATACAAGACCTTCTTCCACTACAGGTTTGGCTCATCGACGCTATCTTCTCTTCAATTTTGTTGTTTCTGTAAAGTTATGACATGGCTTTTTATCATTTATTGCTTTACATACTTTTTACCAATTTGGGAATTTCTCTCTCTCTCTCTCTCTCTCTCTCTCTCTTTATATATATATATATATATATGTATGTATGTATAATTGAATTGAATCGTTTTTGTGATGATTTTGTAGGAATATCAACCAATACAAGTAATGGTGTTGGGATTTCAGCGACGAGTAGTAGCGCCGGCCATAGCCGATTTGGGGATGATATTTCTTCTCCCAACGGCAACGGGGAGATGTTGCCGGCGGCGGATTTGAAGGTTTATACGTATTCAGATTTGAAGATTGCTACTAGAAATTTCAAGTCCGATATGGTTTTGGGTGTGGGAGGTTTTGGGACTGTTTACAAAGGGTGGGTGGATGAAAAGACAATGTTGCCCTCCAAGCAGGGTACTGGATTCATGGTCGCCATCAAGAAATTGAATCATGAAAGTGTTCAAGGCTTTCAGGAATGGCAGGTCTGTATCCATTTTTACTTTCTGTACTTGGATTTTATTTCTTTATTTAGCAAGGTCCAATATTGGGTTTAAGTTTCCTTCTCCCACAGGACTGGAATGCTGATACATAGATGCCTTTTTGGCTTTTATTCACTTGTGAAGAAACAGAAAATCTAGGGGTTCATTTAGACACATACTTCTCAATTTCAAGGGTGTTCCAGCTATATCTGAACTAATCCTGACAAATTGTGGCCGCAAGAGCCCAGCTCTTATAGACTTAGTGGCCACAATTGACAATTGTTGTAGACGTCCGTAATTGAACCTAAGGCAGATGGGATATCCCCACCCCATGAGCCTCAACCTCTATGTCACTACCCTTTGTGGTTTACTTCCCAATTTTGTGGCTTTTAATCTATTTGCTACATGGCTTTTTTCATAAGAAGATGTATACTTCGGTTGATCTGAATGGTTTGTTTGTTGCAGTCGGAAGTGAACTTCTTGGGACGGCTTTCTCATCCAAACATGGTGAAGCTTCTTGGGTACTGTAGGGAGGATAAAGATCTTCTACTTGTATATGAGTTCCTTCAAAAGGGAAGCTTGGAAAACCATCTCTTTAGACGTAAGGAGGGGACAACAAAATATGATGAAAACCCGAGTGTGATTGTCTGTCAAAACTGAAAAACTTGTTCGATTTTGCAGGAAGTTCTGCAGTTCAACCGCTTTCTTGGGATCTACGACTGAAAATAGCAATAGGTGCAGCTCGTGGACTAGCTTTCTTACACAGTTCAGATGATAACGTCATTTACAGAGATCTCAAGGCCTCAAATATCTTGCTTGATGGGGTGAGGCTTGCTTGATCTTGATTCACCAACTGCAACAAACCATAATGTCTAGTTTATTTCTGTTTTGGCTTATGATCTATCTTTCTTTATTTTGATCCTTTTGACTATTTTGTAGAACTACAATGCAAAAATATCAGATTTTGGGTTGGCGAAATTGGGACCTTCGGGTGAAATGTCACATGTAACAACAAGGGTCATGGGGACATACGGTTATGCTGCTCCAGAGTACATTGCCACAGGTCAGTGTCACCTCTCATTTTGAAATCATATTTTAGGTAATTTTGTAGGGCGAGTCTGGACGTAGGCTTTGAGTAAATGGACACAAGCTCTTTAGGAAAAGGGTAATTGTTGGAGTCCGACATCGGCTACCTATATATATACATATGCAGGAATCTTCTATTCTCTAAAACGGGATGCACATATCCCCACATGCTATTAGAGTCTACGTCTAGCACCACCTAGGGACTCGACATGTCTGTTCTTGGAGGCACCGCACCATCTAGCTTCTGTTTGAGGGGGCGTCTTGGAAAACACTTCCTTCACCGGCCTTCGGAAGTCAAAGGAGCCTTAGTGGGTTAGGTTGACTTTCAAAGTAAACCCATTTGACTTGAGAGAGTCAAAGTCTAGCATTTGAATTAATTGCAAAGTAAGCAACTGTATAAATTGACCTACAGGTCCGGGAATGTTGCATTTATAATACTACCCTACACAAACATGATTCATAATATATGGCTTCTGTTTTTATTATAAATCTTAAAGTTTAATGTTATGAAGATAAGTAAGTGAAAACTGGTTATATATTTCGTGCAGGGCATCTATATGTGAAGAGCGATGTGTACGGATTCGGAGTGGTTCTGCTGGAGATGATGACGGGTTTACGGGCACTGGACAACAAACGGCCAGGTCCACAGCACAATCTGGTGGAGTGGTCAAAGCCGATGCTCCCAAACAGGAAGAAGCTAAAGACGATAATGGATGGCAGAATAGAAGGGCAATATACAAGTAAGGCGGCAATGCTATTTGCTCAACTCGTCCTTCATTGCCTCGAAGCAGAACCCCGAAAACGGCCGAGCATGAAAGAAGTGGTAGAGGTTCTCGAGCAGATAAACGGTATGAAGGTCAAAACCAGAGGAACAGCCTAAATTCCCCTTGCCTCATACAATTCTTTTTTATTATTTATTCTAGGCCTGCTGCTGCAAATGCAAAACTACGGCAACACGAGTTTCGGGATACCAAAACCATCTCGTTTTTGCTTGATTTCGTTGTCGATATCGGTTTTGGAACTTGTTTTTTGTATATGTATTCTTGTGAACGGATTATATATATATATATACATATAAGTATTCATTAATGAATATTAGATGTTTTGTGATTGAATAAGAGAGGGGAAGAAGGGCGGTCTAGTAAAGGATAAAGCAGCATCACATGAAAGAGTCCAAGGCCATATAATAGAGGTGGCTACTTAAAATATAATTGAATAATTATATACTATATATATATATAAATATATATATATATATATATATATATATATATAGGGTTGGGTTCACGTGAGACCAATAGATTTTGGTGAGACCCGTAAGACCCACTTATATCCATTGATCAATTTTTATAGATAATGATCCAACGATTGAAATTTAGCATAAAATTTAAACTGCAGGGGTATTTTTGACCAATATAAATTTTATTTTTTTAACCTTACGATCAAAAAACAAATGAAAATTGATTCTTACCGCCATGATCGACTTCGTCTTCTTCCTGGGATGAACTCGATATCTCTCTCTAATGATCTCCTCTTTCTTCGACCAGTAAACATAGATTGAACGCATCAATTGGTCCAGTGCTTTGATTGAAGATCTTCAATTGACAACTCCGACTATCATTTAACCTACATCACAAAAATTCATCCAGGATGTCGATTTCAATAGAAATTGACATTGACGTTGCCTCAATTCTGCACTGAATTCAAGTAAGAAAACTTTTACATAAACGTAATTTGTTTATTTTTAATTTTTTGCTT